CGGCATGCCTCACTGGAGGAATTCCTCCAGGGCCTCAGCCAGGCCTGGCCCGATCTAAATGGCAGGGCCCTGGGCCTGAGCCTGACGCTGAAATGCAGTGAGACTTTTGAGGGGGCTTCTGGAGGGGTCAGTGCGCTGTGTCTGGGCGGAATATAATCTGTGGCCAGAGAGCAACTGTGATGGTTTTAAAACGTGGCCCCAGGATCTGGGACACACCTCCATGCGCATGGGGACACCCAGGCCCCTTCTTGGGTTCCGGCTCCGAGACTGCTTGGCCTGCAGGCTATGCAGGAAGCCACACCACTGTAAGTCCCAGCCCAGCCCTCCTGAGGCTGGCAGTGTCTGTGTCTCGTCTCTCGGGACCCTCGATGTGGGGACTCAATCACCACGTTGGGTGGAAGCTCTCTCGGAGACGCCGGCCCCCAGGGACGCCCAGCCCTGCCCAAATTGCAGATTTGTGGGCAAAAGACAGGATGGCTGTTCTGAGCCACTGAGTGCTGGGGTGGCTTTTCATGCAGCCAGAGGTGACTGAGACAGAAGGGTGGGAGAAGGAGTCAGAGAGGGACAGGGCCCCAGCCGCACCAGCACTGGCGGGGAGGAAGCACCGTGTGACTTTCACTCTGCCAGCCTCGCCGCAGGGGTCCAGGTCAGTGTGAAAGGCCCCAGTTGTGGCGTGTGCTTCTCCTCACAGTGACTGCGCCCATGCGCACCATGAGGCCAGCAGTTCACAAATGCCGTCTCACTCCTCTCCACATTCCCGAGAGCTCTTAGGGAGCCCATTTTGCAGACAGGGGAAGCTGAGGCTGGGGTGTGCAATCCAGCCGGGGTAGGGAACCGCAGCTCCTCACCTAGAATGGAGCCCTGACAGGGAGCTGCTGGGAGCCGGGGCTGGAAAGGCTCTCAGTGGCCACGTCACCCGTTTAACAGCTGGAAGAACTGAGCTGGGGGGGCCCATGACCAGCCTGAGGCCTCGGCCCGCAGCTCAGGGCTCGGCTGCTCCTGGGCACCTTCTCGTGCTGGCAGAACACATCTGTGTCCTCCTTGGGCTCGGAAGCAGCCCGGGGGTTCTCTTGGGCAGTGCGGGCCCAGGCGTGTGTGTTCACCCCCTGCTGAGCCCCGGGGCCTTGGTGGGGCCAGCTCTGCCCTCTCTCCTCAAGGCCGTGCTGGCTCGTCAGTGAGACAGACACTGCACTGGGGAATGGGGAGACGGCCTTGGGGCCCAGGACTGCAAAGACAGACACCCCTGGGCCTCAGGGTGGCTGTCCTAGCGCTGAGATCCGCCCAGGACTGGGGACTGCTGCCCACTGCTTCCTGGCTGGAAGCTGAGGTGACCGGCTTGCTGCCTATGCACTGGGAGGGGGAGACACAGGCTGGAGTCTCCAACTTCAGCTGCATCTCTGTGGCCCATATGTGGCACGGGACAGAGGACATGGCAGGGCTGAGTTCCCCATGGGACAGAGGACATGCAGGACTGAGCTCCCCATAGGACAGAGGACATGGCAGGGCTGAGCTCCCCACGGGACAGACGACATGCAGGACTGAGCTCCCCACAGGACAGAGGACACGCAGGACTGAGCTGCCCACGGGACAGAGGACACGGCAGGACTGAGCTGCCCACGGGACAGAGGACACGGCAGGACTGAGCTGCCCACGGGACAGAGGACACGGCAGGACTGAGCTGCCCACGGGACAGAGGACACGCAGGACTGAGCTGCCCACGGGACAGAGGACACGGCAGGACTGAGCTGCCCACGGGACAGAGGACATGGCAGGACTGAGCTCCCCATGGGCTCCAGGGCCTCCAAGTCCCATCACCTCATGGGGTGCTTCAGGGAATCCTGGCATCGGCTGCCCCCGAGTCCCCAGGACACAGCTGCGTCCCCAGGCCGGTCCTCTCCATCCCCATCTCCCCACTGCCCCATCCACACATTTTCCCAGGAAATCAGGGGCTCCAAGGTGTAGGAGAGCCTGCTTTAAATAATGAGTTTCCCAGTAAACCGTTCCTGCGTCTGTTCCCTGAGGAGGGTGCACCTCTGACCCTGCCCTGCCCACCTCCTCTCTGTGTGGCGGGGTGCGGGGGATGGAGCTGGGCCTGCCGCTCACCACTGGGATCCCCCATCCTCCGCTTCCTCGCCCCACAGGCTGAGACCTAGGGGTACCTGGCACGTGCTTCCCTGCCTGCATCTCCTCCAAGGCTGCCTGCGTCTCCTCCACACCTGCCCACCCATTCTGTCTCCTCGGCCTGGCCCAGGGCACCCCCTTCTCTCCTGATCCCACTTACCCAGCAGCTTCGGGGGCAGGCCTCGGGATCTAGCAGTGGCTCTGTGGGAGCTCTGCACACCCATGGCCTCCCGCCCACCCTGCTGCTCCACGCAGCTCATCGTGGGTGCTGGCCACAGAGGGTCTCTGGAACCTTGGGACAAACTGGGACTCAGAATCCGGGGTGGGAGAGACAGGGTCCCTGGGTCAGGAGGGTTGGTGTGGACGGTGACCTGACTGTCCCCATGTTGGGAAGGTTGGTGTGGATGGCGACCCTGACTGTGCCTGGGGCTGGGCCTCAGTGTCCACTCTGTCTGCAGGGGTCCCCTTGGGACCCACACAGCTCATGCCCAGGGTTCCTCCGCTCTCAGCTCAAACACCTGTCCTTCAGGGAAGCCTGCAGGGACATCCACAGCACTACCTCCTGGGGCCTTGTGAGTGGACCAGCAGGGGCCTGAGTGCACCCGGGGCTGAGCAGGCATGTGTGCATGTGGGCACGAGTCTGAGCGCCCCGATGCCCGCATAGGTGAGGCTGTGCTGTGTGTACACGTGCAGTCTGGGGCTCCCTCCCTGTCTGTCCCCTTTAGTGTGTGGCGGTCCCGGGTGTGCCTTTGGGCGACTTGCAGGTCGGGTGGGTGTGGGGCTGGCAGGTGGGTGTGGGGCTGGCACATGCAGTGCCTCTGGAGGCTGCAGGCAGCTACCCTGCCCAGGTGGAGGCCAGGTCCCCTGGCCGGGCGAATGCTGCCACCTGGTGGCCAGGCGGGGGGTGGGCATCCACTCGTGGATCTCCAGCCACGGGGTGGTCTCAAGACTCACCGGAGGAGGGGTATGTGAACAGGGACAGCTCCCTCCTGACAGTCCCCTAGCAGGGCCTCAGATGGCTGGGAGCAGCAGCCCTCCAACATCGGCACCTGACGCTGGTGGGAGCGTGTGCCCAGCCTGTCCCAGAGCCACTGACCTTAGTAGGGTGCTCTGGATCCTGCCGGCTGGGGCTCTGCCTGAGACACGCTCTGTTGAGGGAAGCGAGAGTCCCGGACAGAGGACCTGGTGGGACCTGGAGGTCCCCACCCATGAAGTACATGGGACTCTGACGCACCAAAGCCAGACAGGCTGCCCTGCAACCCACCACGGTCCGAACACCAACTGAGCCCAGTGCGCAAGGCCCTTCCCACGCCCTCCTCTCAACCCCCATCTACGCCTCCTCATTAGAGACGGAGCCCCCTGCTCACCCACGAGGCGCAGTCCTTAGCCAGTCGCCACCTGTTCGGAAGGCCCTGCTTGGGGGCTGCGTCCACTGGCTTCCCAGGGCTAGGATCCTCGCACAGTGGGCGGGCGTGACGGTGTCTGACATCCACCCTGAGACACTGGCTTCGACGTCAGGCACTTCCGTCCCCACACCGAGCCCCTTTGCAGATGCCCTCGCGGTGTGAGTTCCACCAGCCACAAGCGGAAGGCAGGAGAGGCCCAGAGCCCACCTGGGGGAGGGGTGAAAGCTGAGGAAGTCCAGCGGCCAAGAAGACAAGAGGGTGCTGTGGTGGTCAGCGGCAGGCACGAGAACATTCCAGAAGACAGTCTCAGGAGAAGCTTGGAAGGGCACAGGAAGGAGCAGGCTGAGGCAGGGGCACGTGGACACCTGCACAGACCAGAGCGTGGGGGAGGAGGGGACAAGGCTGTGTGTCTGTGTAGGTGAGGGGGCCTGGCTCCCCAGCCTGGGAGGGCCACGTCTCGGTGCGTGAAGGCTGGAAACTCACACCAGACGGGTGCCTGGGGGGAGGCCCGAGGGTGGCAGAGCCCAGGTCCCCATGCTCACCCTCCCTCAGCCCTGCCTCCTCTGTGGATAAGGCCAGCCCCGTTGCTCCCTGGGCCCCTCATGATGCTTCTGACATGGGGGAGGGGCGCCAGGGCTCCTCAGCCTCACCTCTGTTCCTCCTGGGGGGTGTGGGGGGGTCCTCAATGAGGATGGCAGGGGTGGGCTTGCCCCTTTCTGGAGAGCCTGGGCCACCCCCCCCCGCCCACCTGCTGAAGAGGTGTTCTTAGGACACGGCCATGGCCCTCAGTGGCCCGAGAGTGACCGTGGCACAGACACCCTGGGAGCCACATTCTGAGGCTCAGGGAGGTGCAGGTGAGGTGGGGGCCGGCGGGAGGACAGACGTCACACAGCTGGGAGGTTTTCTGCGAAAATAGTGGGAATATATTTGAAAAGACAAATCACTATGACATTTACAGTACAAACTCAGGGCCCCTCCGTGCCTGCTTTACGACACTCCAGAGGCGGGAGGCGTTGTGAATGGCCCACAGCACCTTCCAGAGAGGCCAGCTGGGCCTGATTTGGTCTCTTTCAAATATCAGAATAAAAACTTTTGACATACACATTGCACCCAAGATAAAAACTAAACAGAGCAAAACAAACCATAAGTCTTCAAGACACTTACGGAGAGAAGGAAGCTCTCCCGCCCTTCTACCCACCTTCACAGACACAGCTGGCTCTGTGAGTGGACACGTGCGTCCTGGGCCTGGGCCGGGTCCTCGTCCGAGGCCTCCCTGGCTGGGCAGCGCCTCTGCAACCCCAGCCCTGAGCATCCCCGTCTGGCCACACAGAACTAGGGTTCACAGCCTGGCAGGGGAGGCAGGGAGAGTGCCGCACGTGGGTGCCCGTGCCCTCCACACAGCCGTGGTGCCACCTCTCTGACCCCGTCTGTCTCACCCGATCCCCTCATTAAAAAAAATCAAGGAAGCCTGTATTCACATTACAACACCAAAATAGCACCAGAAACTTCAGAGTAACATTGCAGATAGGCAGAGCCCAGAGCTCCGTACAGCAGGTGGGCTCCAGGAGGCGGCCATGGAGGCTGGGGGGGGGGACCGGGAGGACCCATGGGAGCTGGCACAGGTGCTGTTTCTTCCCGGTTCCACATGGTAACCTGGTTCCCGGGGTCAAGGTGCGCTAGAGATGGGCTTTTCTGTGGCAGCACAAGCAGAGGCTGGCACGAGCCTGTGGTCAGAGGGAGGAGGCCTGTTGTGCTCTTGGGGGACCAGGCGGCTCAGAAGCAGCTCTTCTAAGTGGTGAGCGCTGCCTTCCCCTACGTGGTTTCTTAGGTCACTTTGGAACTCCAGCAGCAGCAGCAAGACTAAGAGGGAACCTGCCATCATCCCATGGCTGCCTCGACTTACTTCCCTGCTTCGTATGGGGAATGGGAGGCTGTGCAAATCTCCAAATATTGGCTTCTATGGCGTCGGTGCCTTGCCAACAGGGCACAAGGCTGTGGGTGGGGGGGATAAGGTGCTGTCTCTTCAAGTACTTGGTACCAAGAAAGCAGCTGTGTGGTCTCAAAGGGGCTGCAGTGGCCCCATCTTTTACCCGCAGCCTTCCAGCAAGAAAGGGCCACCCTGGGCCCTGTTCAAAGTGTCACAACCTCAGCTCTGACATCAGGGCACAAGAAGTCAAGTGGCCACAGAGTGAACCGTCTCAGGGAGCTGGAGCTGGCCGCCCCCAGCTCTGCTCCCAGGCTCTTGCTCCTATAAATTACTCAGAAACATCTTTCTTTAAAGGGATTTTGAATCCAGTTAGTCTCTGCCCGAAGAGCTGGCTAAGGAGGTCACTCTGGGCCTCGGCGGTCCGGCGGGTGTGTGGCTCTGCAGGTTCAGCACCGTGGACAGCTCTGCCTCTCTTGGGGGGCCTGAGTGGGGGTCGCCTTTGGGGGAAGGCCTTGCCCAGTCTGTCCTTTCTGTGCACGTGGCCCGGCTCTGCCTTCTGCTGATCTGAGGGCGGTGGCCTGGGTTTCTTCTGGCTGTTGAGCTTGGGCTTGGCCGGGAGCACACGGCTGGGAGCTGCCTGCTTCCGAGGGGTCCGGGGAGGCTTGTCAGGGGCCGAGGGGGCTCTCCCGAAGCTCCCCACACTCTCAGTCCTGGCTGCTCCCGGGGCCTGGCTCTTTTTCCTCTTCATGCTGCTTTCTCCCTTCTCATTGGGACCTGGGCTCCCGTGGGTCCCCTGCTCACCAGCTTCCCTTGCCCCCTTCGTGCAGCTCTTGGCCTGCGCTCGAGGCAGGAGCCTGTCTGGTGCAGGGCTCTGGCTGGGGAAGCTAGGCTTGGCTGGGGTAGTGGCTGTCTCACTCTGGAGCTGCCCACTGGCTGGCTGGGGCTGGCTGCCACCGCCTGTCTTGGTGCCAGGCCGAGGGCTTCCACTGCCCTGGGGGCTGGGGCCTGGTTTGGCTTTGGGGGTGTCGGGCTTCATCCCGTTCTCTGTGCCATGGGCCAGCTCTCCGGGTGCCAGGCTCCCCACCACCTTCCTTGGATGCACTGGGAACTTGGGCGCTTTGTTGGGGGTGGATGCTGCCGACCTGTCCATTGATGAGCTCTGACAGCCCCCAGGCTTGGTGGCACTGCCCTTGTGGAAGGGGCCTCCAGGGCCCCCCTCAGACGCCAGGTGGCTTGAGGACACCTGCTTCTGTTTTGTAAGCAGGGCAGGATCTTGCTGGAAATGGTCAGGGACACCTCTGCCTCGGGCAGCTGGGGCCCTGCGTTTCCCTGAGAACAGGAGGGGAGCCCTCTTTCCCTCTGCATCTTGGTCTCTGGCTCCCGGCCGTGGCACAGATGCCCCCAGTGGAAGCGCTTGCTGGAGAAGAGTCCCAGGGCTGCTTGCGGAAGCCTCATCCTCTGGCCTCTCTAGGGCTCTGTCCCGCTCGCAGTCCCCTCTGCCCTCAGCCAAGGCAGCTGGGTAGGGAGACAGAGACGGCGGGGGACCCTCCTGGTGGTCAGATGGCCGATCGCAACCCCTGATCGGGAGGGTCCCAGGGTCTGCAGGCCTCTCTAGGGTCTCGGGCCATCCCTTGATGGTGTTGGGAGCCACCTCCGGGCAGAGCTGGAGCAGGGCTGGGAGGGACCCCTCGCTCAGGGTGGGGCTGTCCTCCTCAGGCCCGGGGGCACTGCCGGGCATGGCCACCCTGCGCCGTTTGCTGGGCAGTGTGCCCTCGAGGGCCCGGGACTTCTGCCCTGGAGCTCCCGGCCTCCGCACACCACGGAACGTGAAGGGCTGCTGCCCTCTCCGGGGGTGCTTGTCCATGTGGCGGTCAAACTGCTCCTTCTTGGCAAAGGTGTAGTTGCAGGAGCTGCAGGCGAAGGACTTCTTGATGATGTGCATGACCGTGGCGCAGAGCTCGCAGGCGTAGAGTGGTGTGTGCTGCAGCTCCAGCGGCTCCTGCAGCCCGTGCACCCCGCCCAGGTGCACCAGCAGCTCCCCGTGCTCGGAGTAGACCCGGGGGCACCGGGGACACAGGAAGACGCGCTGTGGGCTGTGCACCGCCAGGTGGCGCTGCAGCTTGAACGGCTTGGGGAAGCGCTTCCCGCAGTGGTGGCAGTCGCGGGAGGGGTCCTTGCAGGCCTCGTGCACTGGGACGGCCTGCAGGAGGGGCTCCCCGCCGGTCCAGGAGTCTGGGGACAGGATGGGGGTCGTCTTGGCGGGACCCGGGAGCAGGGCCGAGCTGCAGGCTGGAGCGGGCTTCTCGCAGGCTGCAGGGCTGCCCGGGTTGGCCAGGGCTTTGGGACAGACGCTGTCTGGTGTCATGGCCCTGTCTGGGTGGCTGGGGGTGCTGCGCCAGCCGGGTTTCGCCCTCTCGCTCCTGCTGTCTTTCCCGGCCTCTCCCTCCGGCCCCGAGGAGTCTCCCGGGCTCCCACTTGCCTTGCCAACGGAGTGCTTGTCCCTGTGAGGTTTGGGGGTGGGTTCCATGATGCCGCTCAGGAGCTGGGCAATGGCGCTGCCGCACTGCAGGCCCCTGGGCAGGTCCCCCAGAGACCTCCGCGCCTGCCCCTTGCGGGCGAACCGGGCGGCATGCTCCCGCAGGTGCTCATTGTACATCCAGATGTCGGCCACCTCCTTCAGGCACATGCCACAGGCCCAGGGACCCGCCTTGCTCTGTGCGTGTCTCTCTTGCAGGTGCCCCCGCAGCAGCTCCCGCGAGCCGAACCTGCGCTCCACGCACATGTAGCAGGTGGGCGGTGGCGCGGGCGTGTGGGCCAGCTTGTGCAGATCCAGCTCGCCCAGGCTGCGAAAGCGCTGGAAGCACACCCGGCACTTGTAGGAGGCCCGCTTGCCCTTGGTCAGCCGCCCTCGGCCTTGGACCCTCCCCGCCCCCGTGGCCGCCTCCGTCCTTCCGTTCTGTGGCCCCCGGGAGCTCGCCGTGGCCTCGAAGTCTAAGAAGCTGGCGGTTGGGAGACGTGTGGGGTCTTCAAAGGGTCCCAGAAAGCACAGGTCTCGCATCTCAAACTCGGAGCTCAGTGTCTCCAAGTCCGCGGCCTGGAGCGGCAGCAGGTGGGCATTCCCGGGCAGCCCACTGTCATAGCGTTCTCTCTCCAGGCTGGGGGGCTCAGGGCTCACGTCTCCAAGAGAAGAGGAGGCGTCATTGTCAGGGACCGGCAGCTCTAGTCCTCGCCAAGCTGCCGGGACCATGTGCAGCTCGGGAATGGCCTCGGGCTGATCGTCCTCAGGGCAATGGGAAGGCAGCTTCTCTGCACTGGCTTCCTCACCAGGCTCCAGGGCCCACAGGCTGAGGCTGGGGGCCCAGGGGTCGATGCCAGGCACCCTGTTGCTGAGCAACCCATCCAGGAGGAAGGACTCAGGCAGGCCTGTGGGGTCCTCGTCCTCCCACGGAGCCTCATGGCAGAGGCAGAGGGAGCCGGAGTCGCTGAGGTCCGTGGGGAGGCAGGCTGGGCCGAGTGTGGGGCCCTCCTCCACGCTGGGCTGGGTAGGCAGCTGGGGCTCTGCCTTCTCACAGCGCTTCCCATAGACCCTCGGGTTCCTCTTTCGGGTCAAGCGGCCGCCGGTGGGGAAGAGCTGGGAGAAGGAGACCTCGTCATCAAACAAGCTTGGAGGATCCTCCGCACTGGAGCCGGGGGCTTTAGGAGTGGGGCCCTCAGGCCCCTGGACTCCACCCTTGGTGTCTGGGTTCTCCGGGAGGCCCTGGAGGCAGCCGCTGGTGGTGCTGTCCACTGGAGAGCTGGAAGTCTTGGGAAAACCCAGGGCACCCAAGGGGCTCGCGAGCTCCTCCCAGACGCCTTCCTCAGACCCGCTGTGGGCCCCACTGCTGTCGTCCGCCGGTGTGCTCCCAGACTCTTGGCAAACACCCAATGCCTTGGTCTCTCTCGGTCTCCGGAGCCCCCTCGCCAAGGCTCCCTTCTGCCCAACTGGCTGTTCCCCGAGAGCTGCACCGTCCATCCTCCCTGGACGCAGCAGCTGATCTCCAGGTAGCTTCTGGGTCCCAGTCTCCACTGCACACAGAGCCTCCAGGTCAGTCCCCGCAGCACCCTCCATCACCCTAGGCCCAGGCGTGGTCCAGCGAGGTGGCTGTTCCTTGTCAGCCTCAGGCCGTCCTTCCACAGGGAGGCAGTGGCTAGGGGGGGCCGTGGAGCTGGCCGTGGCGGAGGCTGGTCTGGGGCCGCGCCCATCTGAACTCTCTTCCGGAGAGACTGGAGGAGCGCTGCCCTCCCGGAGCCTTCTCCCTCTCAGCTTTCCTGCTTTCTCACTTGACTTCCCCTTGGAGTGGCTGGCGGAGTCCATCGTGGGCTCTCTGTGTCGCCTCCGGCCTTCTCTTTTCTCTGCCTGTTTGGGATGGAGCTCATCTTCCCCGACCTGGTCTGGTCTTGGCTTGGAGGCTGGAGCCTTCACATCCACCCCGTTTTCAGCAGGGCTTGGGGGGTGCTGCTGCTGGCTGGGTGCGGAGCCGGGTGTCCTGAGAACCTCCTTCAAGCCCCGGGTGACGTGGCTTGGTCTCTCCTTCCCAGGTGCCTTGTGGCTCTTCTTTCTGGGGGGCTGGCACTTTTGGGTTGGGGACCCCGGAGGCTGCTGAGCAGGCAGGGCCGCTGGGCTCGGCTGTGGGGGTGCTCCCGGGCGTGGCCGGTGCTTTCTGGCCTTGTGCCGGCTCAGGCCCGGCCGGGAGCGGAAGGAAGCTGTGCAGATCTCACAGGTCACAGGCCCGAGTGCAGCCTGGCCGTTCTCTGTAGACACTGGCTTCTTTTTATAGCCACGAGGCCCCTGTTTGAGGTCTTGGGGACGGAGGGTGTCCCCCTGAGAAGTCTGGTGGGAGGCATTTCTGTGGCTTTTGGGGGAGTCAGACTGGAAGTCACTTGCTGTGCTGCTTGGAGCTGTGGTTACGCCCAAGCAGAGCCCTGCGGAAGGGCAGGTGATGCTGGGCACTTTGGTAGCACCAGAGTGCCCAGCCTCAGAGGTCCCTGGGTGCTCCGGCCCCTTGCTGCTGGTCCCTGCCTCACCTTCCAGGCAGGTGGGGAAGTCCGTCCCTGCACCCGGTGGTATGGGAGACTCAGTGGGCACAGCTGTGACAGCGTGGGCTTCCCTATGGCCGAGGAGGGCAGCATTGCTTGGTGAATATGAGTGGCCTCTGGGTATCCTGTCAGGATTGGTGTGGGATGGGGTTCCCCTGCTTTGGGGTTCCAGCCCTGGGGGTCCTCTGCCTGCCTGTGGCGCATCTTTGGTGAGAGTGCTGGACAGGTCAGCAGCCCTCAGGGCCATGGTGGGGGAAACAGCCCCTGCCAGGGGAGGAGAGGTGGCTCGGCCAGGAGACTCCCACAGCATCTCTTTTCTGGAATCCTCTGGAATTCTTAAAGTGCTGTCTTCAGGGCTGCCCCTGCCGTGAGTGTAGGCTACGGCACTGACTGAGCCAGGACGTCGGGAGGAAGGCTCTTCCAGGAGGCTGCCCTCCCCCTGGAGGATGCAGTGAGCCAGGGCTCCCTTAGGATCACACGGGCTTGTGGTCAAAGGTGGGGGAGCCACCGGGGGATCCCCAGCCCCAGTATCTGTGTGGGCTGGGATAGCATCTGCCTCTTCCAGAGGCGCCTGGGTAGGAGAATAGGCCAGTGGGTGCTGGGGGCTGGAAGGGTCCCTGCAGGATGGAGATGCTGGCAGCTGCCTCCTCAGCCCACCTTGGGCTCTGGTGGTACTGGAGGGAGAGGTGGGGGGGTCTTCATGGGGCAGGGGCCCGAGGCTGCAGGGCATAGGGGTGGCTGAAGGAGAGGGTGAGGGGGCGCAGGCGGCTAGGTCCCCAATGGAGGGTGCTGGACTATCCCCCGTGGCCAGCAATGGCTTGTTCAGGCCCAGGCAGGATGCCCTCTGTAGAGCGCAGCCCTCAGGTGCATTTTGGGTGTGGGTCAAGGCTAGCGCCAGGGACTCCCTATCTGGGGACGGGAGGCTTGGAGGATGCGGGGCCTCGCCCTGAAGGCTCATGGCTGCCCTAACTCCCTCGCATTTCTCTAGCAGGACTGCACCCGTGGCAGGCCTGGCCAGTGCTGTTTTGGGACTGGCATTGACGGAGGAGAGGTTACCTGCCCCCCCTGGGCCCCCTCCGTTCACTGGCTGAAGCCGGCTGGCTCTGCCTTGGACCTGGGTTTTCTCAGCTTGGCCATCTGCCTCCAGCCCCAGCTGCTGCCTGGCCACTGCAGGGACAGTCGTCACCTCCACGCCCTCCAGAGGGCCCAGGGCGGGGCCACAGGCCACCTTCCCTCCTTTCACAGTGCCCCCTTCCAGATCTGAGGGGTTCCCTCGCGGAGGGCTCTGGGCAGCAGGTGCTGGCTCTTGCAAGGCTGGGGTGCCATCTTTACTCTCAGCTGCTCCGGGCCCCAGGATCGAGAGCTGACGTAGGGGGCTTGAGGCTGGGTCCTGGGACCTCCTGCTGGGACCTGTGTCAGACACACAGGCGGGACTTGGCTCAGAGACAAACCAAGCCCCTCCGCCCCGGGGGGTGCTCATCGAGGACGCCCCCGCTGGTGCAAACTCATTACCCTCAACGCCAGGCCTCCCTGATGCGGGGTAGAGGCGCCCGCCTGCTCTGCCTGCAGAATGTCCCTGGGCAGCATGGCTCTGACGGGCACCAAAAGGCCAGGTGGCGTCTAGCAGTGGGGCCCCGTCACCCTGAAATGCCAAGTCAGGGGCCAGGTGGACTGCAGGGCTGCTGAAGGCTTCCAGAGTGGGGGCCTCTGGGCGGGGCCCATCTGCGGTGCAGGGTCCTGGGAAAAGCCATCCTCTCTTTTCACAGGGAAGCGGCCGCAGGGTGTCCTCACTTTCTTGTGAGCTGGTGACCTCCTTATTTTTAGGAAATGAAAGCTCCTGGCCAGGGCTTGCTAAACTCCTGGCATCCAGTGGTGGCCCTGGCTGCTTGCTGGGCTCAGGCAAGCAGACATCTTGGGGGGCCCCACTGTCCCCTTCAGGCAAGCAGACATCTTGGGAGGCCCCACTGTCCCCTCCAGGCAAGCAGACATCTTGGGGGGCCCCGTTGTCCTCTCTAGGCAAGCAGACATCTTGGGGGGCCCCACTGTCCCCTCCAGGCAAGCAGACATCTTGGGGGGCCCCGTTGTCCTCTCTAGGCAAGCAGACATCTTGGGGGGCCCCACTGTCCCCTTCAGGCAAGGAGACATCTTGGGGGGCCCCACTGTCCCCTCCAGGCAAGCAGACATCTTGGGGGGCCCCACTGTCCCCTCCAGGCAAGCAGACATCTTGGGGGGCCCCACTGTCCCCTTCAGGCAAGGAGACATCTTGGGGGGCCCCAATGTCCCCTCCAGGCAAGCAGACATCTTGGGGGGCCCCAATGTCCCCTCCAGGCAAGCAGACATCTTGGGGGGCCCCAATGTCCCCTCCAGGCAAGCAGACATCTTGGGGAGCCCCGCTGTCCCCTTCTGCCCGGTGGAGTCCAGTCTTGGAGACCCCAGCTTTCTGCACCAGCTGAAAATGGAGGCTGGCTCCCGTGGGGCTGAAAGGAGACCCAGAAACCAGGTCTTCTTGGGCGCAGGAGATGGGGGCTGAGTTTCCTGGGTGGAAGGAAGCTGGGCAGGGCCATGTCGCTGTGGGCCTTTGCTGAATCCCTTCCATGGTGGCCACAGCGGGTCCTGCACCCTCCTGAGGTGCAGTGGATTCTGCAGTGACTGAGAGTGTGTCCTTGTGGGGCATGGTGGCCTGGCAGGTGGGCAGCAGGGAGGGTGCCTCTGTGCCCATGCCCGTGCCTGGCTCCACCCTGCCCCCAGACTCAGGTTCTCCGAGCTCCCTTGGGGGCCCAGGTGTGTCTTTGCTCCTTTGCAGTTGACTTTCTAATTCGGTGACCAATTTCTGGATCTCCAGTTCGTCCTCGGACAGGTGGCTCATACGAGCAACGCTACATCCACTACCCTTTCCAGGCAAAACTGGGGCTCCGGGGGCTGCTGTCTGTTCAGGGGGACACGTCTTACTGAGCACCTTTCCCCCTGAGGGATCAGGAAAATGGTCGGGCAGCATCGGGGGTACTTCTTCAAGCAGCAAAAAAGAGGAGAACGGTGGGTCTGATGGGGGCTGCTTCTGGGTAGGGTGAGCACATGTGAACGGCACCTGGGGGTCCCTGTCTGTAGACACGCTGCTGTAGAGGGGTGGGTCGAATCTGCCCAGCGGCAGTCCTGGAAAAAGGGACGTGGACTCCAAGGTCAGTGGCGATGTGGCTCTGCCTGGGTCTGTCCCGGCCATGCCGGGGAGGCTCTTGGGCAGCAGTGGCTCGAGGGGGCCAGCATCCTCACCGTCCTGGCAAAGGCAGGAGCTGCTGGTCGGTGGGGTGTCCATGGCTGGGGGCTTGGGGTGCAGGTCTTCCAGGAAACAGCCAGCCAGGTCTTTAGGTCCAAGGAACAACTCACTGTGGGGGCTGCCGTAGGGCTGAGGCCCCTTTGTGGCAACTGGAACCCCCACGGGGTCTCCATTAAAACCAGCAGGTTCACAGCCAAAACCGGAGATCTTTGAAGACAGAATGCCGGGTTTGGGGCAGGCAGTACTCGAGGGGTTAGCCATGGGTGCCAGAAATTCTGCAGGATGGTGGGCAGGGGGTTCCTCTCTGTTGCAGGAGATGGGGGCCTTTGTGCACCCAGGGCCATCCAGCAGGCTGCCCAGGCCTGGCGCTGGTGCACTCCTGTGGGGCGCCACAGTGGTGTGGGGTGCCATGTTGGAGAGGCTTCCCGATAGCTTGGGGCTGCCCATGTCCTGTCTGCTGGGCTGCGGCTGCTCTGGAATCAGGAGACTGGGGCTTCCTTCCACACAGCTGGCTGGAGAAGAACTCAAAACCCCTGTGAGTTCTGTGATGTCCACGGGTGACCCTTTGACAATTTCAGGCTCCTTGCCCTCCTGGGGGAAGTCCAGTGGTGGGTGGTTTTCCTCGGGGCTCTGGGTGTTGGTGGGGACCTGCAGGGGATCCTTGGGGGCCAGTGAGGGGTCATCAGCACACTTGGGGCCTCTCTCCCTGGAAGCCGCTCCTGCCTCCAGGCTTTGTGGTGGGCCGTGGGCCTCGGAGCTCCTGCTGGGGTCTGGGCAAGGCCTGCCTGGCTCCTCGGGGTTGTGGGGGGCTCTGTCCCCGCCGGCTTCCTGCCTCACTGCCTTCCTGTGCTTCTGCTGCTCTCCATCCTTTCTGGGACCCTGGGTCAAGTCCACTTCCTTCCTCTTCTCACCTCGGGACCTCCGGCCTCTGAAGCCAGGACCCCGCCGCGGAGGAGGCTGGTCCTCCTCGGACTCAGAGGCGTAGTCGTACTCCTGGAGCCTGCGGTCCTTGGCACGGGGCTGGGGCCTCTCGGCCGCCAGGGACCCCCGCCTGCCCACCTGCCGCCCCAGCCGCTGGTAGTGCTTGTTCTTCTGCTGCACTATCTTCAGGATGAGGTCCTTGCCCCAAGCGCCGTCCCGAGCCTTCCTCCTCCTGCAGTCCTTCCTGGGGGGCAGTCGGAGGCGTGGGGAGGTCCTGGTCTCCTCAGGGAGGGTGGCGGCTCTCTGGCCCTCGGGGGTGGGGTCTACATGGCTCTCGGGGGCCTGAGTTCTAAGGTCCCGGGGACAGGGTGGGGGCCGCTGCCCACGACTGCCCTTCCTCCTCCTGGGCCTCAGGGCGGCTCTGCCACCCCCACCCAGCCCCTCGGCTGCTCTGGTGTCCAGATCCTTCTGGAACAGCTTCAACTGCTTCCCTCTCCTCTGCTGCCTGCCCTGGCTGGGCTTGTCCACCTCCGTGGGGGCCAGACCCAGGGAACGCGTTTTGGGCCTGCCTCGGGCTGGGCAGCCTCTGTCCCCAGGGCGGGGAGCTTGGGGGTCTCGTGTGGCTGCTGGGAGTGGGGGTGGCGCTTTGTTCTCCGGAGTCACCTCTGCCTTCGTCTTAGGGGGCTGTCCAGTGCTGGGACCTCTAGGGCCGGAAGGCTCCTCGTCTGCGAAGACGTCGATGAAGCTGCTGTCGATCTCGGGGCTGTCCGAGTGGAACCCCATGCCGTTGAGCGCCTCGGTGATGAGGCTGTCCAGCTTGGCGTCATCCTCCATGTCCAGGTCCGAGGCGGGGAGCGGGAAGGGGATGGCGGCCGGGCTGGGTGAGAAGCCGGTTCTCAGGGGGTCGTCTTTGCCCTCGGCCTGGACATCCTCAGCCGGCAGGAAGGCCTTCGAGTGGTTGAGCATGCCGGGATGTGCGTTGGCGGGGACTCTGGGGGCAGTGGTGGGCGAGGGGAGCCCAGGGGGACCCGGGGAACGCTGGTGGCCATCCTTGGCCCTGGCCAGGAGCAGGCCGCAGAACTGCCGGTGTGCCAGGAAGGCTGCCAGGCTGCTGTAGTTTTGGTCACACTGCCTGCAGGTCAGCAGCACATCGAGCTGGTCCAGGCTGGCGCTGCTGAGGGAGAAGTGCTGGGCAGGGTAGAGCGGTGGTGCCCGGGGGAAACCCTGCAGCCCTCCCTGGCCCACCTCGGGGCCCTCGTGGGGGAATGGGGTCTCCTCCAGGCACTGGAAGGTACCCTCAGCTCCCAGCCCATCTGCAGGGAAAGGGAAGGCCTTGGCCGGCTCTGGCTGGTAGTGGGTGGGGAGGGAGTGGGGGGGCTCCGGGGATGGGAAGGGGCTGCCCGTCTCCTGGGGATGAGTGGGTGGGTGGAAGAAGGCGGAGGGCCCGCGTGGGCCGGGGAGCTGGCTCTCCTCTGAGCTGGGGTTGGCTGGACTGCTGGACATCGGCGACAGTGAAGAGCAGGTGCTGCCGGCCGTGTTGGTGGCCGGTGATGGCAGTGGGGACTCACTGGGGGAGGCTCCCACCACCCTGGGTGGGGGCAGGCTGGGTGTGCCGTGGGGTGAAACCTGGGGCTGGGCCACCCCGAAGAACAGGGGCTGGGCTCCGGGGTCTGTCAGCCCATTGTAGGTGAACAGCGCGGGGGAGGCGTCCGGGCCACTTCTCATGGCTGCCAGCTTCTCCCCGGGTCCCGGTGTCTTGCCAGCAGTGCTCAGGGCTCTGTGGCTGTCCTCCTGCCACTCAGGGGCCCCAGCAGGGAAAGGCAGCCGGCTCGGCATCTCCATTCCGTGGGGGCTTGGCCCAGCGGTCGGGAGCGCCTGGGGCCACGGCAAGGGTGCACTCTGTGAGAGGCGGAGCCGCTGGCCTGGGCTGGGCTGGCCATTGAAGAAGGCACTCCTGGTGGCAGCCAGGGGGCCCTTGGCAGCTGCGGGGTAAGGGGCTGCTGTGGGGTCCCACAGCTGGGGCAGCCTAGGGGGTGCGGGCCCTGGGGTGGCCAGCTCAGTGTCCAGAGGCCCTGGGCTGGTGTCCACCCGGCTGGCTCCATACGCCTGCCCTGGGAAGTGCCTCTGGGGCAGGGAGCTAGGGGGCTCCCTTGGGCTCCCCAGCCCATCCTGGGCTGGACGTGGTCTTTCGGGAAAGATTTTGGTCAGGCTCTTGTGCAAAGTGTCAGAGAAGGGTCTCGGGGCCAAGTGAGCAGCTCCAGGCGGAGACAGGGCACCACTGAGGTTGCTGTGGGGGTTGACGCCACCTGGCTGGCCCTGGTAGCAGGGCAGGGGTGAGGGTGCAGACTGGGTGGGCAGTGGGTAGGCTGGGCCAGCGCCCATGGCCTCTTCCGGCCACGCTCCCCGGGGCTGGTGGAAGGCAAACACCAGGGGCCCGTCGGTGAATGCGTGGCTGGCCATGTTCGCAGGGAAGGGTTTAGCACCAGCCCCATGCAGAGCTGGGAAGGGGAACTGGAAGGAAGCCCCCACGGGGCTGCCGCTGGGCCTGCTGCCCGTGGGAATGGGCTCTGACTCGGCAGGGGGAGCCCCGAAATTAGCACCTGGGAAGCTATTCTCAGCAGCGGGAGGCCAGGAGTCGGCCCCACTGGCCTGAAATTCAGGATAGGGGCTGGGCTGGAGGGGGCTGGCGCCCCTGCTCTGGGGGGGCCCTGTGGCTGGGGGCCTGGGTGTGGCGCTTGGTGAGGTATAGTTGATGGAGGTAAAGCTGGAGCGTGTCTCCTGAAAGCAGCTGTGGAAGCCGAGCTCTTCAGCAGTGGGCTGGGCCTCAGTCCTTGAGAGGCCGGGCCTGAGGGGAGCTCCCGTCCCAGGGCCCCGGAGGGCCTCCACCTCTGGGGGCTGGGCAGCCTCCAGCGGTGGGTTCTCAGGCATCTGGTCCAGGGTGGCCTTGGCTCTCGAGCCGGCGATGCTCAGACTATAGTGCTTTGGGGGGCTGCCGTCTGCCTTGCCCACCGGTCTTGAGGGAGCCTGCAAGGGGCTCCTCCCCGGCGGTGTCTGGGGGCTGCCCCCCTTCGTAGGGGTGCTGCTCAGGGCCTGGCCTCTCAGGGGTGGGGGCTGGGGCTCCCCATCCCTGGCCTGCCTTGGCTGGGCCTCGGGGAGCTCCATGGCCTGGGCCCGGCCGCCAACTTCCCTGACACCCTTGGTAGTCCTGCTGGCTGGGCTGTGGTCCTCCAGTGGGGCCTGGGAGGGGCGCCCCAGGCTGCTGGCAATGTGGCAGGGCTGCAGGTCTCCTGTCATGGTGGGGGCTGGTGCTCCTCGGGGCCGTTCCCCTGGCATGGCCCCTCCGTCCTGGCGCTAGGAGGATGCAGCCGTCCGAGGGGCGCCCTGGGGAGTGGGCCGGACAGCCATCCTCAGCCCTCGGAGGGTCCCAGGGAAGGCTGTGCTCATGGTCCTGAGTGGAGCCTGAAAGGAAAGGTGAGGGGTGAGCAGGGCGGAGGTGTGGGTGGCCCTGTCTGGGCAGGGAGCTCCATGGGCTTCCTGGCTTTCCACGCAGGCGTGGCCGAGCCGGAAGCAGAAGAGGCGGGGTGTGCGCATCACAGAGGCTCCCAGCTTAGAAGGGATGCTCGGCTCAGCCCCTAGGAGAAGCAGGCAGGGAGAGGGAGTCCCACCAGATGGAGCAGGGACCCTTCCTGTCTCAGGCAGAAGAGGGCTGGTGGGGGGCGGGGGGTGAGTGGAGGGAGGCAGGGAGGGAGGGAGCATCCGCTGGCGGGCTGTGGAGAGGACAGGCCCCTCCTGTGCGGGGCATGAGCTCTGGACCTGCAGGTGCTCCCCAGGGAGGGTCCTGAGAGTGTCTAGGAGGGCCCAGGTGGGTGCCTGCACCTGCCATGGGGAGGGCCTGGCGGCCGGAGGCAGGGGATGAGGCAGTAGGGAGGAGGGGCCTGCCCAATTTGGGCCTAGGTCTGCAGGGCGGGTAAGGCTCCAGCCTGCAAGCACCACACCATAGCACCAAGAAGAGTCATGGTGGGTGGGGGGGCCTGGGGGTCCCTTCCTCCTCTGCCACCTCCACTGAGGGGCATCCTGTCCCATGACCCCAGGAGAAGGGTCCCTTTCCCTCTTCTTGGCTCCACTGCCACGGAACAAAGGCCTGGGAGTCCTTGAGGCAGGACTCATGGGTGAGGTTTGTTGAATGAATGAATGATGCCAACATCAGCAACAGCAAGGCCGGGCACCCGAGCACTTTCCTGCACTGCCTCCCTCGTGCCCATGGTGGCTCAGAGGTGACTTGGTGATTGTCGCTCTGAATTTATGGGGGAGGAATCCACAAACAGAGAAGTGGGGAGCCCACTTGAGGCCTCAGCCAGTGTAGGCAGGGTCCTCCTGGGAGGGCCGGCTCCTGCCCTGCACATCTCCTGCTCTGCACTGGGCTTACCTGTGTCCCACATGGCTTGGACACTCACTGGGACCAGGCTGTTGGGGGTAGGAACAGCAACAGCCAGGCCCCACATGAAGCCCGGGTCCCATGGGCCAGACCCCCTACCCACAGCCACAGTCCTCCAGAAGGTGATGGAGTAGGAGGGGTCTCAGAGTGGGGACCTCAGCCCAGATGGGACATCAGAAAGGCTTCCTGGAGGAGGTGGCTTTCACTGAGTCCTGGACGGTGGTGAGGAGTGCTGGGAACACAGCTATGCCCAGTAGCTTTTAACAAGGGCAGGAGTTGGTCTGCTTCCGTGAGGCCGGCTGGCTGGGTGGCCACCATGAAGAACACCAGGGGACACACCTGCCTGCCTGGCTCAGAGCTGTGGCTGGAAGCCCTGCTTGGCGACCCCAGGAGATGGCTCTCCGGAGGCAGCGGGCAGGCCCAATTACTGTCCTGAGAGGGAGAGGAAGGCTGGGCGGGTGGGGAAGGGGCCTCAGGACCAGGGCACCTCCCGCCAGCCTGGGAGCAGGCTGCTGCCTCTACGTACCTGGGGAGTCAGGGGCCCCTCAGCTGGGACGCCGCACAACTTCCTGAGGAATGAGAATTTCTTGGCTGCAAAGAAAATGGAAAGCACGTCAGGGCCGATGTGGTGCCTGGCTCTGGACCATGAGCCCCAGGAGGAGCCAGGCGGGAGTGAGCGGCTCCTGGGCAGAGCCAGCTGCAGCCTCAGGGCCCCAGGAAGCTACCAAAAGTCACTGGGGGATGGGCAAGCTCCTCCCTGAGGTCAGCGGGCAGCTCAGCTTGCCCGGGGACCCTGGAGGGTTTGGGGGTCAGCTGGCTGCCTCAGCGGCAGCTCTGACAGTTCTCTTAGGTTTCTTTTTGTGAGGCCCTTATGGATGCAGGCTGTATTCACGGGGCTCCAAAGCTTGAGACTCCATTACGTGTCGCGACGTTGCGGTGAGAATGCTGCCCCTCCCACCCCTGCCACGATCCCTCCCTAGTCCGCTGGGAAAACTAGAGGAGCTTCTGGTGTTTCCCTCAGAGTCCCCTGGTGCAGACACGGGCACACAGGACCGCACACTCCCTGTCCCCCCTTCCTTGAACACAAGATCATCCGCTGCCTGCACGGTTCTGCACCTGACTTTTTCCATCCAACGACATCTCCCGTAGATAATTCCACAACATTCCACGAAGACGTTTTTGACTCTGCCCACCTGTCCTCCATCCAGGGCTGCAGAGCACCCAGGCCTCTCTGGATGGGCACTGGGCCACTGCCTGCACTCGGCCCTTAGAAACAAGACAGCAGAGGCCACACACGGGCTATGGAGCCTGTGCTGCAAATGCTGAGCATCCGGCTGCATCAAAGGGCACCTGCGTTTGACATCTGGAGGGAGACTGTCCAATTATCAGTCTCTGTGATGGTTTTAAAATACAGCCACACATTCTTCAACCCTCCGCCCTTCAAGAGGTGGAGCCTAGTTCTCTCCACTTGAACATGGCTGAGCTTACCGACTTACCACTAATAAACAGAATATGCTGGAAGTGGGGGTGTTTGACTTTAAGACTGAGTTCTAAAAGGCATTTCAGCTTCCTCCTTGCACACTGAGATCACACAGGTGGGGAGGCAGCTGCCATGCTCTCAGGCACCCAAGCAGCCCACCCATCTATCCATCTGTGCACCCATCAATCATCATCCATCCATCTACCTAGCCATCCACCCACCTATCCATCCACCTATCCATCCACATTCCTACCCATCCACACTCCTACCCATTCATCCACCCGTCAATCATCACCCATCCAGCTACCCACCCATCCACCCACCCACTTACCCATCCATCCATCCATCTATCCATCTATCCACCCACCCATCCACCCACTCAGCCATCCATCTACCCATCCATCCACCTATCCAACCACACTCCTACCCATTCATCTACCTGTCAATCATCACCCACCCACCCACCCATCCATCTATCCATCCATCCACCCACTTATCCATCCATCTATCCATCCAACTATCCATCCATACACCCACCCACCTACCTATCCATCCATCCACCCATCCACCCACTCACCCATCCATCTATCCATCCATCCATCCATCTACCCATCAATCATCATCTGTCCATCCACCCACCTACCCATCCATCTATACATCCATCCATCCATCCACCCATCCACTTATCTATCCATCCATTCATCCACCCACCCACCTACCTATCCATCCATCCATCCACCTACCCATCCATCTTCATCCATCCACCCATCCATCCATCCATCACCCACTCATCCATCACCCATCCATCCATCCATCCATCATGAATCACCCACCCATGCATCCACCCACCTACCCACCTATCCAGCTACTCACCCATTCATCCATCCATTTATTACCCACCCACCCATCCATCCATCTACCCATCCATCACCCACCCACTCATCCATCCAACTACTCACCCACATACCCATGCACCCACTCACCCATTCATCCACCCATCTATCCACCTGCTTACCCATTCATTCATCCACTCACCCATTCTCCCATTTACCCATCCACCTCCCCATTCACCCATCCATCCATCCCTCACCCATTTATTCATCTACTCATCCATCTATCCATCCATCACCCACCCACCCATCCATCCTTCCACCCATTCATCCACCCATCTATCCACCCATTAATTCATTCATCCCTCCACCCACCCACTCCCCCATCTGCCCATCCATTCACCCATCTATCCACCCACTCATTCATTCATCCATCCACCCACTCACTTCCCCATCTACCCATCCATCCACCCACCTATCTACCCATTCATCCACCCATCTATCCACCCACTCATCCATCCATCTAACACCCACCCACCCATCCACCCTTCTACCCATTCATCTACCTACTCATCCATTCATCCATCCACCCGCCCATCTACCCCCCCCATCCATCTGTGAGTCCACATGTGTGTGGGATGCCGTGTCAGGTACTGGGCACATGGTGGTGTGACAGATTCACAGCCTTGGGCTGACCAGAAAGTGAGTCAAGAAATGGCTGCAAATGAGGAAGTTGCAGCGCAGAGAGGTGACGTGGCGGGTCCAAGGTCCCATGGCCGACACAGCCGCGCTGAGACGTGAAGGCAGGATGCCTGTGACTGCACTGCTTCCATGCTGAACAGAGAGTGGCCCCGCCCCGCCGCCTCCACACCTGTGCCTCTGCCCTTCCCATCCCTGGGGAGCCCTGCCTCTGTGGGCCTTGCCTGTTCCAGTCCCTCTTTCCTGTGTCCCAGGACGGCGGCGATGTCTGCCTGCAGCAACCTGGGGCACTCCAAGGTCACCAAAGGACGTAGTCCTCAGACCTGGGTGGACCTGGGGGCAGCGTGTGCCCCAGGCCTCAGGTTCTGACCCCGCCCAGGCTCTTGGCAAAGCCCCTTGGTGCCAGCCATCGGTGTGGGTTTCAGCAGGCCGGGCCACTTTGAAGTTGGGAGATCCTATCCCTCAGATCCAGGGCCAGCCCCAGGGAGACCCCAGAGGAGTGTGAGTGGCTCGTGTTCTCTCAGAAACAGGACCTGGCCCCTCTCTAACTGGCTGAGCGCTCTGGTAACTCAAGAGCGGGTTGGGCTGGCTCTGGCCAGGGGTGTGGGGGCTGCCAGTGCCTGAGGGGAGGGGTGCCCCTACCTGGGCTCCTGCCCACGCCTCTGCTCCACACCTGGCCACTGCTCCCAACCCTCTTCCCCTCACCTCCTCTTTCAACCTGCTCAGTTTCACCTATGGCCTCTCCACCCTTAAGAGCCAGGAGATTGCCCCCCAGCCCCACCCTGGCCCTTCCTCCCCAGCCCCTCTTGGGGCTTCTGCCTGAGAAGCTCCCTTGGGCTGCCCTGCCCCTTTCCTGCCCTCCAGACTCCCACTCACTCTTGGCCCACCATGCAGGGGGCTTTGGGGCTGGCTCCGCCTGGGCTTCACTCTCAGACTCGGTTCTCCCTGACTGTGGGATCCAGGCCCCTTTCCAGCCTCTCTGAGCCTGTTCCCCACATGTGAAATGGG